GCTAGGTTATGGCATCAGTATTCTGGGATGCGCACGGTATAATATTCATTGATTACCTCAAAAAGGGTCAGACCATCAACAGCTATTATTATATGGAGTTATTGGATCGTTTGAAGGATGAAATCGCTAAAAAAACGGCCCCATTTGAGGAAGAAAAAAGTTTTGTTTCATCAGGACAATGCACCGTGTCACAAATCCATGAAAACAATGGCAAAATTGCAGGAATTGCGCTTCGAATTGCTTCCACATCCACCGTATTCGCCAGATCTGGCCACCAGTGACTTCTTCCTGTTCTCAGACCTCAAAAGAATACTCGCTGGAAAGAAATTCAGCGCCAATGAAGAAGTAATCGCCGAAACTGAGGCCTATTTTGAAGCAAAAGACAAATCGTACTACAAAAATGGTATCGAAAAGTTGGAAGACCGCTATAATCGCTGTATCACCCTCGAAGGGAACTACCTTGAATAATTAAAAAGAATTTTCAAAAAAAAAATGTTTTACTATGGTAGACCGGGGAATTTTCAATTGGCCTGTTAGTGTTAAAGAGCTCGTTAGGGACATTTATTTTGAAAGATGAAATGTCCCTTGCGTAAGAAAATTTGAACTTTTCCACCTTTATCTTAATTTTTTCGGCTCTGGTTTTGCCTTGTATAAAGGCAAGAACATCTTCCGATGTGTGGTCAGGGGAGAGCCGCGAAACAAAAATATGTCTCGTCGGTGGAACCGCTATAAGGGCTTTTGGCAAGGCAGATTGGTTATCTGCCGTGCCATTGTCGGCCGGTATTCCGGGCCTAACACCCTGGGCAGATATATTTGTGTGCACGGGACTTTGAGGGGTCAATATTTGCGACCCCCCAGGGGATAAAACAGAAATCACCGGCGGTACGGACACTCCCGCTGCACATTCGGATACCGAATCTTTCCTAGAGCTCGATCTCAGCACTCTTGGAATTAATGCTGAGGTCGAGGGCTGTGCCGTGAGAGGCTGCTGCTGAGAGCCTGTTGCAGGTAGTTGGGGTCCGTCTACATGCTGCCCACCAATAGCATTTTGCGCCTAGGAGACTCATTTAATAGCGTAAGGCTATTAAATTGGGTGTCCAGCGCCAAGAACATATCAAGAGTTTTACGAAAACTCGTTAAAATGCCCTTAAAACCGTATTTGGTTTGCCGCATGAAAGACATCATCTCCCTTTCTACATCGCGACAGGCCTCACAACAGAAACGCAGGCCGATGTTTTTTTTTACATCGTCCACCGTCCGAGCTGCAACTCCAATACACTTGGCGTGCATGACGTTGTCGCACAGCCAGCAGCCGATTGTAAGGTCACCTGCAGCAATTGCCTTTTTGCAAGTTTTGACGAAACAGACAATATTTCCGGACATTATAAGGACTTACCACTGTACTTGTACTTGGAAAAAATAACAACAGAGCTATGAAAAAAGAAGGGACGAGTCACAGTGAGAGCAAGAGAGCGGGAGAGCGAATAAGATCGAATAAGATAAAAAGTGCAGCGGCACAGCTAAAGCGAGAGAGTGGGAGAGCGTGGGAGAAACGTAGATAAAACGTTTAGCTGTTGCGACGGCGCAAACAAAAACTAGACGAAGAAGGCACAAAAAGGAATGCAAAATATGCAAAAGCTAGCACTAGCAGCACAACTAAATTGAAAAATAAAACCAATTATAAACACAAATTAGAATAGCTGCATGCGCACGCGAAGTGAACAGGAAGTTATAAACACAAATTAGAAAATTTAAGTTAACCCCGGTGGTTAGATTCAAACTATAGTACAAATCGAGAGCGCAAGAAAAAACACGTCCGTTCACTTGGAAAGAGGAAAGACTATCGAGCACCAAAGAGAAGTCGCACTCCATCACAGCAGCCGTTTCTCATGGCTCGGCGCTGGAAACTTTTGTGGAACCCCATGTAAGGTGTTCTCAAATTTTAGGCTTTGCGGATGATGTAACGTTAAAAGTGGTCGACCAAGAGCTTTGGGCAGCTATCGCGTAAATCAGGGCAATATTGCTTTTGTTTGCAGAGTTGGCAGAGGAGGCAGCGTCGAAAAATTCTTTCAAAATATACCTGGAGATGTTTATGCTTTTGATTCTATTTAAAGAACTGTACTGTAAGGTTTTCTTCTAAGCACAGTTTGCAAATGAGAAGATTCGCCATTTTGAAGACGATTTGTGATTTGATTTTTTAATATTTTCTGATGCTTTGACCTTAGTAAAACGAAATACTTGTAAAGCAAAACATTTAAAACTTAAAAACTAATAAAAAAGAGGAAACGAAGGTAAGTTCGCCACACTGCAGATTGTATACCCTTACAGTTTGCAATATGATTAATTCCAAAAATTAAATTTAACAAGGAAGGAAGCTAACTTCTGCACGCCGAAGTTTATATACCCTAGCAGATAGAACTTCTATGACTAGGAATCCATACAAAATAAAATAAAAATATATGATATAGTCGTCCGATCTGGTCCGTTCCAACATATATACGAGTGAGAATTCAATTCTTAAAATATGTACGATCTTTCTAACCAGAGTACATGCATTTCACTACGATTTTTCTATCAGAATAAAGGAGGTCTATCGACCTGTCAAGCAGGAATAATTTTTGTTACCCTTGTTACAACACAGATAGTAAAACAGATGCCAACAACGATAGATGAATTTTTAAGTTGTCAACCATTCCAAAGCCTTTTGAGAATATAAATAGTACATAGCATTTTGTTCGTTTTAACATAAACTGCATAAACTGCAGACCGAGAACAACTAATCCTTTGGTCTCGCTTTCATATAAGGTTTCAGACATAATGTTATTTATACTGATTTCAGTAAATTATTTGATACTTTATGCGTGTTAGGAAACGGGGTTTCCGAGTGATCTTCTTAGATGACAGATCTCAAGTTGTCTGATTGACAGGAAATAAAAGGTCCTTATTAAATATCTGGGATCCAGGCGACAGAAAAATAAATTTTTGATGTCGGATCAACCGTAATTGGATTTTTATTATAACATAGGAAGACAATTTTAAATCACAGAGCCTCAAACCTGAAAAATACATTCGGTAAAATTTGTTTTAAGCGCTGTACTTGAAGCATCCTTAAATCCGTTTTTACATTTTTGAAAAATCTGTATTGTACGATGTATTGTATGTACTCCTAACTCCTTAAAAATTAAAACGAAAATAAAAACCGCTCACCCAACTTTTTGAGAGAGGGAGAGCGCAGGAGAGATAGATACCTACATGACATTTTTATACTCTTGCAGGGTATAATAATTTCAGTCAGAAGTTTGCAACGCAGTGAAGGAGGCACATCCGACTATATAAAGTATATATATTCTTGATCAGGATCAACAGCCGAGTCGATCTAGCCATGTCCGTCTGTCCTTCTGTCCGTCTGTCCGTTTCTACGCAAACTAGTCTCTCAGTTTTTAAGCTATCTGAATGAAACTTTTTAGTTAGCCTTCTATATACTCTCACTCGTATATATGTCGGAACGGGCCGGATCGGACGACTATATCATATAGCTGCCATAGGAATGATCGGAACAATTTTACAAAAAAAATTTTTACTTTTTTAGTTTTCAATAGAATTGGATCAAATTTGAGATATAGCCATTTTACTATACACTACAATTTTGCATAAAATTTTATGAAAATCGGACTACTATATCATATAGCTCCCATAGGAACGATCGAGAAATTAATACAATTAAATTTATAACTTTTTCAGTTTTCAGCTGATTTTCATCAAATTTGAGGTATAGCCATTTTATATAAGTCTTAAATTTTGTGTCAAATTTCATAAAATTGGACGACTATATCATATAGGTGCCATACAAACGATCGTTTGATGTGGAGAAAAAATGCAAATCAGTGAATGTAAAACTGCAAATATAATATGTATAGGTGAATGAAATGAAAGCAGGTATTACTTCATTGTTTTTTAACACAAATATATATAATTATATATATATATAATTTATATTGTATGGATTCCTATTCATAGAAGTTCTATCTGCAAGGGTATATAAACTTCGGCGTGCCGAAGTTAACTTCCTTTCTTGTTTACTGGTAAAATTATACATATTTATATTTATATATTTTTTAAAATTAAATATCTTCAGAAGAATATTGTGTCAAAATTTCAAGTTAATTAAAATAAAATTGACGAAGTTATGACTATTTTTATACCTGCGGGATTTTTGTTTTACACTGGATATTTTTTGTGTTTAAAACTTTAAAACGCTTTTCCCACAACTCACGTTTTCAAAGTCGGTGCCCATCATATATTCAAAACTACTGCACCGATCCTTTTGAAATTTTAAACACTATTTCTGTACATATTTTGCGCGGTAACGCTGTCAAGTTTTTTTTTGTTCATAATTTTAATTTAACAATGATAAATTAGCCGCCTTTTTTCCAAAAAAAATGGGCTTTCACTTCAGTCTTCAAAAAATTCAAAATTTGGAATTAAATAAAAAAAAATTGACAGCGTTACCTGGGGTATTCTAGATTTTAACGAATAAATTTGGATTTTTGTATGGCAGCTATATGATATAGTATATATATATATATATATAGTAGTATATTTCAATACCATTTTACACAATTTTCTAGAAAAATTTTTAATGCCTATATCTCTGAAAATCTGTTAAAACTAGAAAAGTTATATTTTTTTTCTGCTCGTTGCCATGGCAGCTATTTAATATAGACGGCCAATCCGGCCTGTTCCATATATATACGAGGGAGAGTATATAGAAGACTAACTAAAGTTTTATTTAGATAGCTTAAAAACTGAGGGAGTAGCTTGCGTAAAAATGGACGGACAGGCGGACATGGCTAGATCGACTCGGCTGTTGATGCTGATTAAGAATATATGATTCCTTCACTGCGTTGCAAACTTCAGACTGAATTTATAATACCCTGCAAGGGTAAGAAAAAGGATGCATACAACTATTATATACATAATAGAACAGCCCACCCCATTACCTTGTGTATATTTACAAATCCGTCAGTGGAATTATTTGCATTCGCTTGGAGACTGGACATTTTTTTAGTTATGATTATTTCTGGCAAGATTTCGGCAAATGATTTTTGCTTCTCTCCGTTAATTTCCATGGATCCTTCGATTGGTATTATCTTTAGTACGATATCAAGGTTATGTTTGGCGTAATTATTGGCAGGAGTGGTGCACCTGAAAACCTCACCGTAAGCGCCTTCACCAACTTTAATTGGGTCCATCATTCGTTTTAATGAATATGTAGCATGAAATGAAAGCGGGTTTAACTGATCGCAATATTTTAAAACTTCTTGTTCATGATCACAACTAATTTCATTAAAATCAGTTAAACATACTGACATACGACCCGTTACTAGTGATCTTGATTTCCCAGCTTTTATAGACCCGCTTGGTGTTATACATTTGCTTATTTCCCTTTGTTTAGTTTCATGAGTCTTTCGCCAAGTGTTTAAAGATTTGCGCCACTTTCCTGGCTGTAATGCAAGAGGAGGCCAATTGACAAGATTGTTTTTGCAATTTAAAGTAATTTCATGAACATCCTTATAACCATTTTTAAGAAAATTTTTAAATCCAATTTCGCTTTTAACTTTTGCTTCTGTTTCATTGTTTCTGAGATTATTACATTCAAATCCGTCAAGTTTTATACCAGTTATTGGAGATAGTCCGCAATGAAATAAATCTGAATTAAAACGTTTGGAGCATGGAGTTGATATAGAACAGCTACGATCATGGTTCTTTTTTAAACAATCGGAATAAGAGGAATTTTGCTTTGCTTTAAATGACTCTTGTTTTTCTATGGCCTTGATGCTGTTTTCGACACTTGAGTCTATGTTGAATGATGCTCTTACAGTATCTTTAATTATATTAAGTTCACGTAGTTGCCTGAGGAAAAATTTTTTTAAGTATGTATTTTTATTATAAATCATAATGATATTTCATCTTACGGCCTACGGTTTAACAATTTATCAAAAGAGTCAATCCATTCATCATTTTGTGAAGTCTCTTCCATGGCGTCAACACGATTGTCCGTATGCTTGCATCCAAAATATTGTTCACTTGGCGCATAGAGATTTAATCCTTCAATAGTATTTTTCCTTTGTGAAAGTAACGCAACCTAGCGGTGACAAAAGCGAACTTTCGGTCTATTTATACTTATCGATATTTAAACTGTGGTCAAGGTGTCATAAAACATTGTGGATACGTCACTGCTTTTTTTTTAGAAATAAAATAATATAAAATTTAATTGGCAACAAAATAACATATGTGCAATCCTCCAGAAAGGTCCACCGCTATTGATCAAGACTAAGACAATTTTTCATTTTCTAAAATGAACTAAAAAAAACGATGTCAAACACTCGCAAACGCAAATAATGTTGTTTCCATCAAAAAGTCATAAAAAATGGCATGTTTTGTTTTTATGACAATCATTTAAACTTTTTTTTTTGCTTTTACTTTCAATATTTATTTTAATATCAATATTCGTACAGTTTTAGTTTGAATTATCGCTTTCGTGCAAAATGTCGCGTGCGACCGGGACTAAAAATGAATTTAAAATATAACTTACAATTTTTTATCATCCTTCGCTGATATCAGAGGTTAAACTGGTTTTTTGCAAATTTAACTACTGTTTTTGTCGCGTTCGAATGGAGTACATTTTAGTGAATATCTTGAAAACGAACAAGGGCCCAAAATCGATCTTAGCACCAATTGTAGTGCTAACCAAAATTAGAAACGTATTCTAATTTTGAAAAACTAAAATAAGGTCTTGGCACATGTTTTTTTTTAGTTTTGATACGTACGAATGTCGCGTTCGACACCAGAGAATTGCCCATATACAAAATCTGAGAAAAATAATATATTAACAATTTAACAATTAAATGAACTGATTATATTTCGGAAGACAAGATGGTGGGAAAATTGAAGGAAAACACGATTGCGAGAACGGCACTATTTCTTAATCATGACAAAGTTGTCTTAATAACGGCTGAAAAAACTTTGGTGATTATGTTTTAAAATCTACATTAATAGAGCCATCAATCATTAATAGCAAAATTGTTGCTGTTTTCCAAAAGAGATCCATCTGCCTTTCTCCTTCCGTTGAAGTAATGTCCATAAGTTTGTGCGTTTTCGATGTTTCTTGATTTGCCGATGGAAAGGCAACTCCGAATTTTTCTTCTAGTCTGTGAAAATTTTAGAAGTTAAAAGTGTGTCACAGAAATTAGAGGTGTTTTCCGGTATGTTCTAGACCTTAATTTAGTTAACTTATTTCGCAGCAGCCATATTAACAAGCTTTGTCTATATTTTGGATGAGCCACAGCTGTTCGATCAGCTACTATCGTATGGAAGATGGAGATATAACTCTGTGGGAAAATGACTGTGTGTGATGGACTGTGTGGGAAAACAGTATTACGGCTGTAATTCAAAAGTAAACCCCCATCTAGGTGTTAGAGCTCGAAAATATGCCTGCAGTTCGGAAAAGAGACAAGGCATCATCAGTATGTATCTAAACATCTATTAGAAAACTCTTTAGAGAAAAAGTTTTGCCGCTCTTCTAATCAAAGTGCCTAATAAAAACTACCAAAGTGGAAACGAAGCCCAACTACGGTTTTTATTTTCTGGAAGAACACCATGTGGAACAACAACAACAACAACATTCAATCAACCACTGCCATCGACCGCCGACGAATTATTGGGTTGACGACGGCTACAGATTTTTGGACACCATCCGCCCACTCCTCATCGATTAATTAATGATGAATTGTTTATGAATTTGTTGATGACTTGTTGATGAATTGTTGTTGATGACAGCCTAGAACATTAAGTTCATCAACAATTTGTATGGCCATTCATCGATGAATCATCAACAACATCGCCTTGACTGTTTATGAAACGTACATGAATTACTGATGACTGGTACTGCAGGGAGAACAGGCAAGTACGTATGTACATATGTGTGTGCTTCTGTTCGCAAGTGCAATCACGAAAATTTTTAGTTTTATATTTAGTGCTGCTAACCGCTTGTTTCTGCACTACATATACGTTGTTCCAGAATAAATATTCTTTAATTTACTTGTTGTTTAAAAAAATTAAAAAAAAAACTTTAAATGGATTTTACAACCATTAATAAATATATCAGATTTTGCTTTGCTTTTGAAACAAAATGGGGAAACCAAACAGTTAGCGCGCTTTTCTTAGCCCGCTCTTTTACTCACTCGGGCCCATCAAAAAAAATTTGACTTTCAGAAAATCATTTAACTAAATTTTATTTTTATATCAATAACAAAAACGGGTAAATTACATTATATGTATTTATAGAATATATATATGTATATATATTTTATATTTGAATTATTAAATAATTATGATTAATAAAAATGAAATTCAAGATCATTTAAATTCATTCCATACTAAGAACTTACAATTTTTAAATGATATATTATAACACATCTACAAAAAAAATAAAATAAAATAAATGTAACAAAATATAATAGCTACAGTCGCGAAACAGGTTTTATGAGGTACGTCATGTTGCTGTATGCGTAAAAGAAAGCGGTCGGCTCTACCCTGCAGCACCGCATGTCATCAATAGGCCACTGTCATTAACAGTCATCAACGCGCCGACTGCGACTTCTACTAAGGCGACGCTCTGCCGACTGCGACTTCTACTAACTCGACGCTCTGCCAACTGCGACTTCTACCGATTGATGACATGCTGTACTGCAGGGTACTGACCTCTATGATTCTATTGTCTTTGGCACATCTACATATGTGAAAAAATTAGAATTTTTGGCAGATAAATAGTTATAGCTCATCCAAAAATTAAACAATATGTTTGAAATCATTTCTGCGGGAATATTATATTATTCCTCCAGCTATAATGCCTAATGTACAACACCAAAACACTAAATAACAGTAAACAAGAAAGGAAGTTAACTTCGGAACGCCAAAGTTTATATACCCTTGCAGATTGAAATTCATTCACTAGAAATTAATACAATATAAATAATATATATTATTGTTAAAAAAACAACGAAATAATATCTGATTGAATTTCTTTAAACAATACGTATTATACTAGTTGACCCGGCGCCCTTTGTTCCGCCCCTAATTGATGTTTTACTTAACTCCACAGTCATAATTAAATGCAGATAATTCAAATTTCTTTAAAATTTTTTAAATCTCATTATTTGAGAGCAATATGGTAAACTATACTTTTTTCTTTATTTCCGTGCGCAAAAATAAACAACCAAGACGGGATTCGAGCACGGGAACATGCTATTTCCAACGATTGTTCTTGCGATATATTGATTGTCAATGCAAAATCCAACCAAACTGGAAACTGAATCCGCCTAAATTAAAATAAAAAAATTATTTGGAATTACTTCCTCTCCTTTGAATTTGTCCTTGTTGGTCATTGCTAGAATTACATTGTTCATTAGTTTCTTGACTGACAACCGAGTTCCATTTCACAATTTCGGATTAGTCAGATTTCACAGCATGATCAAAGATTGTATAAGTATAAGATTAGTAACGCCATACGATTTTTTTGCACACGATTTTTTCGTGCTGGCTTTTGAACTGGCTCCAGGCTCTCTCGCACTTCTTTCTGTTACTTGCGAGTGCTTATTGCGATTTATTATTATTTCAACATAATGTAAACCTGTTGTGTCACGGATTGTCCACAGGGCCGCAAAATTACTTCGCGGCAAGCCACTGTTTATTGTTGGCTGTGCACTAATGCCGCACGCCCTGGCTGTACCGATCTTGGGCATGTTGGCCCGCGCATCGCCTACCTCATACGGGCTTGGACTGGACGTGCCCGAGCTGCCTACATATTAAATATGAAATGCGGATTTTTATGAGACAAACCCATTTGGAGTTTCATTCCTGGGCGGCTGGGTTCAAGGATTTGGCAAGCCGTTTCCAGAAAACGGAATTTTTTTTCAAAACGATGAAACTGATAAGTGTCACACCAAATATCAATACGGGACCTATTTCAAATAATTTCTTGCCTGTTGCAGACCCTGCGAGCCCCCTTTTGCTGTTTAGCCCACGCAACTCACTCAATGGTCATTCCTTGGGTGTTGCCGATGACTCAGCTGCCGATGTCGCTGCGTCTGGTCAAGTAGTGAATGCTTCCCCTTGTCCTTTACTAGCCGATATCGTCGCATCTCCGACCTTGCAACCAGTCAACGTGGATCAGGCATCTACGTCGCATGATGCTGCCGCAAGCAAAGCCTTGCTGGCCTCGAAGGATGCTCACTTTGCGATCGGCCCGGCGGTCACCATCGCATCTCCTTTAATTTCTAGCCTCAGACAATCTCTTTCAACTATCTCTGGAGTTGCCCCAAGGAGTCCAGCGCCTCTTGCTGGCGTTGCCAAAAGGGCTAGTTTTTGTCTCTCGCCTTAATCCTGGTGCATCCGTGAAAGACATCGCTATTCTGAACTCCTCTGTTTCTGATTGCGAATTATTTGGTGGCAGCTATATTGTCTACAGGCGTGACCGTCAAATACGTACTGGCGGCGACGTTCTTATTACTCTGAAATCTGACCTTATTTCTGAACTGGTTCCCATAACCTACTCAGATAATGCTTTGGAGTTTGTTGCGGTTCGTGTTCAAGTTCACGACTACTCACTCTATGTATCATGCTCTTACATCCCACCCCGGTCTGACGCTACTATTTATCTTCAGCACCTGTCCTTAATCCATCGAATTTACTCAACTCTGGGTGTTAACGACCATTTGATGGCTAAGGGCGATATTAACCTTCCTTCCATATCTTGTATGCCATCACCTGACACCAATTTTTTAGTTCCCACTGCAACTCATGACTTAGTCCAAGGTCTTATTGACTTTTCTTTGGGCCAATTCAACTACGTCAGAACTGTGGTGATACAATCTTGGACCTTATCTTTGCGTCCGAGCTCGCCAACGACCTTGTCTCAAGAATTGACCTTACAGAAACTGACTACAGAAACCACCAAAATCGGTGTAGAAATGAGTTCCAGGCTAATCCTAAGCCATTTAAACGCGTTTGTTAATTCAAAACGAAGATCCAAACTTTTTCCTTCTTGTCTTCATCTCAATACTAAGTCCGTGTCTAACGAGCCAGATATAGCGAACCTATTCGCAAAACTTTTCCAGT